CCTTAATCACCGGGCATGTTAATACTAAGAGAAACCCTAATGGATTTCCTGTATTCCATGCGTACTCTTCCTTACCACTGTTGTCGAGTAGTACACTGATTTCATCTTGATGAAAAATGTTGTCGGGCCGGGCGCGGTGGCTCACGCCTGTAATCCCAGCACTTTGGGAGGCCGAGGCGGGTGGATCACGAGGTCAAGAGATCAAGACCATCCTGGTCAACATGGTGAAACCCCGTCTCTACTAAAAATACAAAAAATTAGCTGGGCATGGTGGCGCGCGCCTGTAGTCCCAGCTACTCAGGAGGCTGAGGCAGGAGAATTGCCTGAACCCAGGAGGCGGAAGTTGCTGTGAGCCGAGATCGTGCCATTGCACTCCAGCCTGGGTGAAAAGAGTGAAACTCCATCTCAAAAAAAAAAAAAAACAAGATATAGGACAGTATTTTATAATTTGGGGCTGGGGAAGACATAATCGTTGAAGACACGAGGGAAGAAAATAGACTTGAGATTCCTGAAAATTGAAACTTCACGACAAAAGATAGCATAGACAAGTCTTAACAGGCTGAAAGGAAAATAAAGAAATTATTTTTCTTTCAGCCTGTTAAGACTTGTCTATGCTATCTTTTGTTTCTTAAAAACAAATTATTTACTTCAGTAGCACTAGTCCTTAGTCTATTCTAAAAAGAACAAAAAAAAAGAAAAAAATGAAAAAAAAATTATTTCTGTCCATAGTAGAGGTATTTCTAAAAAAAATCAACAAGAAAATTCTAACAATCCAACAGAGAATTGGAAAAGGACACAAAAAGGCAATTCATCAAAGGAATACAAACGATCAATAAATTCTATGAAAGCTAATATACTCAGAAGAACAGAACAGTGTAAATTAAATGAGAATTTTTTTTGCCCGTCATTTGTCAATGTATCAGGTTTTGTGATTATTTAGTATTAAGGAGGATCCGAGGGAGATAAATGTTCTTATAACTTTTTTTAAAGACAGTGTCTCTATGTGGCTCAGGCTGGGCTGCAGTGGCGTGATCTCGGCTCACGGCAGCCTCAACCTCCCAGACTCAAGTGATCCTCCCACCTCAGACTTCCAAATATCTGGGACCACAGGTGTGTGCCACCATGCCTGCTAATTTTTTTTCCTTTTTTTGAGCCAGGGTCTCACTATGTTGCCAGGACTCCTGGGCTCAAGCAATCTCCCTCTCTTGGCGTCCCAAAGTGCTGGGATTATAGGCATGAGCAACCATGCCTGGCTCTGGAAACAATCTTAATGTCTGTTATTGGAAGTAAAGAAAGGATTTTCCAGGCCAGGTATGGCGCCTCATGTCTGTATTCACAGCACTTTGGGAGGCTGAGGTGGGAGGATTGCTTGAGCCCATGAATTCCAGACCAGCCTGGGCAACATAGATAGGGAGATCCCATCTCTACAAAAAATAATTACCTGGATATAGTCTAATGTATTTTCCGAATTTTGTACAATGAACTCATATTTATTACATAATAGGAAAATTCTTGTTAAAATGATGCTACTGCTTTGACTTATTTATTTTGAGATGGAGGCTCGTTCTGTTGCCCACGCTGGAATGCGATGGCATGATCTCGGTTTACTGCAACCTCCACCTCTTGGGTTCAAGAGATTCTCCTGCCTCAGCCTCCCAAGTGGCTGGGATTACAGGCGCCTGCCACCATGCCCAGCTAATTTTGAATTTCTAATAGAGATGGAGTTTCATCACGTTGGCCGAGCTGGTCCCAAACTCCTGACTTCAGATGATCCATCTGCCTCAGCCTCCCAAAGTGTTGGGATTACAGGTGTTAGCCACCACACCCGGTCAGGCGCTACTACTTTGAAAACGTTATGCTAATTGAAAGAAGCTGGTCACAAGAGACCACACACTATATGACTCTATCTGATGCAGGACCAGCAAACTCCCCAATTGGGGCTTAGTCCAGCCAGTTTCTTGGCTTCACTCAGGAAAGAATTTAAGGGCAAGTGAAGGTGTTAGTAACTTGTATTGAAGCAGCGGTGAGCAGCAGCACCGATACTGCTCCTTGCAAAACAGGGCTACCTCGTAGGCAATGTGCCCAGGGAAGCAGCTTAGAGGCAGGTCTGCAGTCATGTTTATATGCACCTTTTTTTTTTTTTTTTTTTCTGAGAGGGAGTCTCACACTGTCGCCCAGGCTGGAGTGCAATTGCGCAATCTCTGCTCACTGCAACCTCCGCCTCTCAGGTTCAGGTGATTCTCTGGCTTCAGCCCCCTGAGTAGCTGGGATTACAGGTGCCCACCATCACACCCAGCTAATTTTTGTATTTTTAGCAGAGAGGGAGTTTTACCATGTTGTCCAGGCTGGTCTGGAACTTCTGACCTCAGGTGATCCACCTGCCTCAGCCTCCCAAAGTGCTGGGATTACAGGCGTGAGCCACCGCGCCCAGCCTACACTCACTTTTAATTATATGCAGATTAAGGTGCAGATTATACAGAAATTTCTAGGAAAAGGGAGGTAACTTCCAGGTTGTTGCCACGGAGAGGGGTGGTAACTTCTATGTGTTGCCACAGCAATGGTAAACTGACAGGGCACGCTGGTGGGTGTGTCTTACGGACAGCTGCTTCTACCCAGTCCCTGTTTGAGCTAGTCCTCAATTTGGTCCAGTGTTCGAGCCCTGCCTCCAAGTTGAGTCCCACCTCCTACCTGACATCTATGTGAAATATCCAGTATAGGCAAGTATAGAGGCACGGAGAGTAGATCAGTGGCTGTTTAGGACTGTGGTGCTGGCAATGGTACAGCTAGGGGATGAGGAGTGTTGGGATGATAGCTAAAGGTACAGGGATTTCTTTTTGAGGTCATAACATTTTTTAAAATAGATTATGTTGATGGTTGCATATGGTTTGGATATTTTGTCCCCTCCAAATCTCATGTTGAAATGTAATCCAAATGTTGGAGGTGGGGCCAGGTGGGTTCCAGCCTCCCAAGGAGCTGGGACCAGAGGTGTGTGCCACTATGCACAGCTAATTTTTTAAAAACTATTTTGTGGCCGGGCGTGGGGGTTCACGCCTGTAATCTCAGCACTTTGGGAGGCCAAGGTGGGTGGATTACCTGAGGTCAGGAGTTTAAGACCAGCCTGGCCAACATGGTGAAACCGTCTTTTTTAAAAAAAACAAAAACAAAAACAAAACTATTCTGTAGAGATGGGATCTCACTACGCTGCCCCGGCTAGTGTCAAACCACTGGCCTCAAGTTTCAAGTGATCCTTTTGCCTCAACCTCCCAAAATGCTGGGATTACAGGCGTGAACCACTGTGCCCAGCCTGGTATTTCTTTAAAGCAATGCAAAAGTGGTCAAACATGCACTAAATTGTACATTTTAAATGGTTTAATTGTATGACATGTAAATTATATGTCAAAGCTGTTACCAAAAAAATTTAGAAGATGATGCTAGTGATGATCATTTTATGCAAACTAAGAGCCTCGTCCTCTGACCCACAGTTCTTACCACACTGGGCACGGGGACTAACTCTTCCTGCTGGCGAATTTGCAGTGCTGCTGTTGGGACACTCCTTCGAGCTCCTGTCCATCTGGCCAGATGCTGTTGTTGATGACGAGCAATCCCCAGGAGCTCTGTCCTTTAGGGAACTACGGAAATATTCTTCTGTAAGAATCAGGCCATTTCAAGGAGTCATGACCATTTAAAATGAACTAGCCAGAGAGCCATTATCAACAGTTTCTAGCCAACTATAAGGATTAAGTTTGGCTTCTTGACAATTTAGTGATTATAGTAAGAATGATATTAAGAATAAAACAGGGCCGGGAGCAGTGGCTCATGCCTGTAATCCCAGCACTTTGGGAGGCTGAGGTAGGTGGACCACCTGAGGTCAGGAGTTCAAGATCAGCCTGGCCAACATGGTGAAACCCCATCTCTCCTAAAAATACAAAAAATTAGCTGGGCCAGGTGGCAGGTGCCTGTAATCCCAGCTACTCAGGAGGTTTAGGCAGGAGAATCACTTGAACCAGGGAGGTGGAGGTTGCAGTGAGCTGAGATTACACTATTGCACTCCAGCCTGGGCAGCAAGAGCAAAACTCTGTCTCATAAATAAATAAATAAATAAATAAGGCTGGGCACAGTGGCTCACACCTGTAATCCCAGCACTTTGGGGGGCCGAGGTGGGTGGCTCACCTGAGGTTAGGAGTTCAAGACCAGCCTGACCAACATGGAGAAACCCTGTCTGTACTAAAAATAGAAAAATTAGCTGGGCATGGTGGCAGGCGCCTGTAATCCCAGATACTCGGGAGGTTGAGGCAGGAGAATCATTTGAACCCGGGAGGTGGAGGTAGCAGTGAGCCGAGATCAGGCCATTGCACTCCAGCCTGGGCAACAAGAGCGAAACTCTGTCTTAAATAAATAAATAAAATAGAAAATAAAACAAAAATAATAATAAAAATTATGTGCCAAGCACTGTGGTCAACATTTTACGTGGGTAACTGGTTATGCAGAAGGTATGAATATTTTCTGTGTGATTTAACAGCTCAATTCAAAATTTCATAAGCTCCCACTACCTGCAAGGCTGAACCATGACAAAGACGAGCCAAAAAGAGAAGTTATAAATTTTGAAATAGCTGTTAAAGCATAGTAGGCATAGTACATAGTACCTGACCGTTTTCTGCAATTCTGAAATCCAAAAAGCTCTGACAAATTGAAGATTCTTTTTATAACTCATCTGGCAACAAAAATCTGACCCAAACTGATGACAGGCTATTTACTCTTACGGTGTGAATATTCATACATTTGCTGTATAAATATTGATGTCTGATTATGGGGTTCTGCCCCACATTCCACCACGGCATAATGTAATATGTAAGGTATTATGGATCTTGAATTCTTATGTGCACTTCATTTGTGAATACATACACACAAAATTGCAGTTAAATAGTTGTTTCTATTTTAAAAGCACCATTAAAGATGGCTTGTTAAAGGTAGGTACTGTGATAATTCCACGACAATCATAGTTCTCATTCTCATTCTTTTTATTCATTATTTAAAATCTATTTGATAACATTAATAACATACTTCAAAAAGCTTACACTTATCCTACTTCCATTGGCTGTCATCCTGAAAAAAAAGCCAAGAAATGATGATGATGAAACATGTTTATTCTTCCACGAGATGCATAAATTAAAACCAGGTATGTGGAACCCACACTTAAAATGAGTAATTCAACACAATAACCATCAATTCATAGTCACTGAATGTCACACAGATAAGACAATGTTTTAGGCACTATTTTTTTAAAAAGACAAAATTGTACCCAGAAATAATAAGGTACACAAATTTTTTATACCTTAAAATTTTGTTTTTATTTATTTTCTACCAGGATTATGTGCAGGAAGTGAACTAGACTGTAATGACTGATATAGATTGTCACAGCTCATCACTCATGTGTCTACTTGCATCAGTCATTAGCAGTATAGAAATACCAGGCCATGCAGCAGTTCATTAAGGTTCGGGAGATCACTCTGTTAAGATCAAGAGAAGATCAGTGGCTCAGTAAAGTTTGGTGAAAATACTCATACTTGAGAAAGATTCTAAGCAGAGATGACTATCAGCTGTGAAATTTCCAAGAGTTAACTTCTGGTTGGGATTGTATCCTACCATTTAAAAATACACAGAATCTAAGATTAAAGGCTTTATAGGCTGGGCGTGGTGACTCATGCCTGTAATCCCAGAACTTTGGGAGGCTGGAGTGGGAGGATCGCTGGAGACCAAGAGTCTGAGGTCACTGCACTCCAGCCTAGGTGACAGAACAAGACTCTGTCTCTAAAAAACAAAGAAACAGAAACTAAAACCCTTGTAGTCTTTCAGTTTTTTCTTTTTTCAGCACCCTGTGCTGAAAGAGGATTTTTTTTTCTTAAAAAAACACTACATAGGCCGGGCGCGGTGGCTCAAGCCTGTAATCCCAGCACTTTGGGAGGCCGAGGCGGATGGATCACGAGGTCAAGAGATCGAGACCATCCTGGTCAACATGGTGAAACCCTGTCTCTACTAAAAATACAAAAAATTAGCTGGGCATGGTGGCGCGTGCCTGTAATCCCAGCTACTCAGGAGGCTGGGGCAGGAGAATTGCCTGAACCCAGGGGGCGGAGGTTGCGGTGAGCCGAGATCACGCCATTGCACTCCAGCCTGGGTAACGAGAGGGAAACTCCGCCTCGAAAAAAAAAAAAAAAACAAAAAAACCACTACATGTTTCCTTTGCATTTCCAAGTGAAATCTTTCTAGATAGTTACTGAGAAACAAATGAGTGAGTTTGTGAACGGATCTCTAGTCTTGCCAGTTCTTCTCACTGTATGAGAATAAGGAAATTATTCAAATACAGTGCACTCTTTAAAGCTGCTTTGAAAGCTCTGTTCTTAACTGAACCAAGTGCCGTATAAAATCGAACAAAAATACTCTTAAAATGATTTTATTAACCCACAGATTCATTTTTTAATGACGTAAAGTGGGATAAAAAGACTTTGTTCTGGTAAAGTTATCTAAACAATAATATAAAAGACTGTTTTGGTTGCCACACAAAAAGGCATGGAATGCTCGAGGCTTTTGAAAACCTAGAAGAAACCCTCAAGTTTCCAGGCTCGGGAAATCTTGTTTGCCACGATTATGCATATAAAGGCCACGTTTAAAAACATTCTGATTAGGCCCGGCGCGGTGGCTCACGCCTGTAATCCTAGCACTTTGGGAAGCCGAGGTGGGTGGATCACATGAGGTCAGGAGTTTAAGACCAGTCTGGCCATCATGGTGAAACCCCATCTTTAAAAAAAAAAAAAAAAAAATTCTGATTAAACGTTTTGGCTTACACTTACCATCACATCACCACATGAATTGGGAGTGTGAATGCAGCTCAAGATGAGCAGTTTCCATCCGAAACAAGTTTACGATAAGAATTGGACAGTTTTCATTCTTTTTTTAAAAAATCATATTTATGGTGCTGGTGGCTCATGTCTGCAATCCCAGCACTTTGGGAGGCCGAGGCAGATGGATCACTTGAGGTCAGGAGTTGGAAACCAGCCTGGCCAACATGGTGAAACCACATCTCAACTCAAAATACAAAAATTAGGCCGGGTGCAGTGGCTCACGCCTGTAATCCCAGCACTTTGGGAGACCGAGGTGGGCGGATCAATCAAGATCAGGAGTTCGACACCAGCCTCACCAGCTTGGAGAAACCCTGTTTCGATTTTTAAAAAGTACCAAATTAGCTGGGCATGGTGGTGCATGCCTGTAATCCCAGCTACTTGGGAGGCTGAGGCAGGAGAATTGCTTGAACCCAGGAGGCGGAGGTTGCAGTGAGCTGAGATCACACACTGCATTTCAGCCTGGGAGACAGAGCAAGAATCTGTCACAAAAAAAACCACATTTACTTAAAATATTTAGTAATTAGTGACATCATTTATTAATTTAAAATTTAAATTAAATTTTAAATAAAATAACTTTAATATAAAATCAAATATATTTGATTTCTAAGAAACTTGGTAAAAGCATTTTACCTGGAGCAAATAATTTCACTATTTTGGCATTATTATCCATATTCTCTCTAACGATGTAAGAAAATAGGTCAGCTATTTTCTATCTATATAAATGCATAAAGGTAATGGCCAAGGTTAGACAAATGTTTGGCAATCTTGTACAAGCAGTCAGAGTTTTGCAGTCATCATTGTTCACTTTACCATTGTTTTATCATAAATAGCCCCTCGATAATATAAAATTATTTAACCCTATTTTGTATTTTTCAGATTCGGTTAGACACATTTGCCCTTTTCTTGACATCCTCCTTGGGTCTCCCCCTCCCCCCACCCGATACACACGCACGCCAAGCACAGCGTGGTGAACAAGGTGCTATGAGACGAGTTCTAGACTTCCTTCTGCTCATGCACTGAACTTCCGGCCCTGCCTTCCTGTTTGTTTCTTTCTTTAGTTCTGTTTTAAATCTTGGAACACATGATATCCTTCAGCCCAAGTATTAGTCTCTCCCGATCTTAGTATTATAAAAGGTGTCCACTGAAATTTAATTCACATTTTATGTTTTAGCTATTTAACTTTAGAAGTAGGCACAGGTGACTGTACTTTAAACTGCTGTTAGATTTTCAATGTTTGGGTTTATGCCATTTTGGATTGATAGGAAATTGTCATATAAGGTTGAAAACTGTAACAGTAAAATGGACTACTTTACGTTTTGGGGAACAAGTATTTTCGCATTTGGTTAATTATGGTTTGAACTCATGTGAAATTAACCTAAGGATATCAAGAAAACGTTGACAACATAAATATTCATACCTTATATAGTCATAATTTATATTCTCTCCATCAGCACAACTGAAAATACATGAACCTAGAAAATGTACAAGTATTTGAAAATACAATTAAATATCTACTTCAAAGATGCACAAAAAGCACAAACGTGACTTTCGATTAGGTCGTCTGCAGGAACATTATTTCCACTTGTCAAGAACAATAGTTGAGGGGAAAAAAAAGCAGAGGAAGCCAGGCACGGGAGGGTCACGCCTGTAATTCCAGCACTTTGGGACACCGAGGCGGAAGGATCGCTGTGCCCTGAAGTATGAAACCTATACCCTGGGCAACAGAGGGAGACGCGTCTCTACAAAAAATAAAAAATTAGCCAGGCATGATGGTGTGCACCTGTGGCCCCAGCTAGCAGAAGGCTGAAGTGGGAGGCTTGCTTGAGACTGGGGAGTTCAGGGTGCAGTAAGCTGTGATCATGCCATTCCACCCTGGTCAACAGAACAAGACCCCGCCCCCGCCCCCACCCTCCCCAAACAAGCAGAGGATATGCAACAATCAAGAATTGCTATGGGTCTATGAAAATACACATCTTTTTCTACTCCCTCTGCATAGGAATGAAAGGAGAACTCATGAGAAAAAAATTCTCACCCATTGTAACTATAATGGTATGCCCACGAGCAGCATATCAGTCTCAACTCTGTAAAATGCTTACTCTATTTACAAAGCAGTTTTTGCATGATTCACTAGATTCTCAAGATAATTTTCCATGAAACACAATAATAAATGGGGTTATTAGCCTCATTTTACAGATAAGAAAAATGGTGCTGAGAGAGGTCAAGTGACTTCCTCATACTTAGATATTGGTAACCAAGTTTTCTGATTTCTTATTAAATATTCTTTCTATTATGCTACTTAGGTTTTCAAACAAATGAAGCAACTATAATTTATCAGTAAAAACCCTACGATTCCAAAAAACGTCGCTTGGTACTCCTTTGTGATTCAGAATAGTTTACAGAACAGAACAGAAGTGTACATTATAAAATATTTGACACTATGATCAAAATATCCCTTCCAGGAGAATTTAATCAATGAGTTAAAAATCAGTAAACTCAAAAGTCATTTTACCATCTTAATTGATTATTCTATCTTCACTTGTGCTGATGAGATTGTAGAATGCAATTTGAAGGCTAAATATATCAAACATCTAGCCAATTTTCCATGTCTAGAAAAATCTCTTCTGCATGCTTTTTGTATTGGAAATGAGGAAATTTGGAAATTTACTTGGAGAAAAATGCTTTTACTAAAAACATTCTATGTTTACCTATATTAATAATTTTGACAGTAGTTCAAGGTAAATTGCATTTATTTTTTGAAAATGTCAATATATAAATAAATTTCATTTTTCTTATCTAAATATGAACAGTACACTGTAACAGCAGAACATTTGCTGCTGTCAGAGTATACTGTTCATATTTAGATAAGGCATGGCGGCGCATGCCTGTAATCCCAGCACTTTGGAGGCCAAGGTGGGAGATCAGCCTGGGAAACATGGACAAACCCTGTGTCTGCTAAAAATACTAAAATTAGCCAGGCATGGTGGTACACATCTGCAGTTCCAGCTATTCAGGGGTCTGAGGTAAGGTACTGAGAATCACTTGAACCCGGGAAGCAGAGGTTGCAGGGAGCCAAGATTTTGCCACTGCACTCCAGCCTGGGTGACAAAACAAGACCCTGTCTCAAAAAACAGCAAACATTTGGTGAGCAGTCCTCTGTTTTAAATTTTACCAATATTTGCTTAAAATATTTTGCTTGATCCTTAGACATCTCTGTAAAACATAATGCAGTTTTAGGAGTAATAATTAGGGAACAAAAACGAACATGAAACTTCTTGTGTTGAGGCAAAATTAAGGGCGGACAAACATTTCCAAAGAGTGGGGAAAAAGCCTGGTACCTCGTACAAGGAACTGCTGTTTCCGTCCTGGTGAATACTTCTGAGATGCTTTACTCTGCAGGTGAACAGTGCATATTTAAATGCACTTTGGAATTCATATTAATTAACTCAAGAGAACGTAATTCCTGATATAATCGCTTCAATTGACTATATATGTACAAAAATCCATTCAAACTGTCAAGAGAAACGAGTAAGGTTGACATATCTGGACACTAAGGTCAGCGTACGCTAACAAAGTAAGAACGGAGGTAACTACGTAGATTTTCCCGTTTCAAGAAAAAGGTTGTCCGCTTTGCCTGATGATTTAGCAAAATGCCCAATCTGGGAGTGTAACGAGTAAGCATAACGCTCTGAATCAAATGCCGTACAAAGTAGTATTAGTGTGGGTGTGTGACCTTTTAAAGCCTTACTGCATCATTCTGCTGTTGATGTTGGTATTTTCCTGAAGTGACACCCAGTCCGTTCCTGTCAGTTCTTTGGCATGCTGGGAGTCAGCAGAAGCACTGCTTCCTGGGCTTTACCGCTTCCTCAGAAGAATGCACAGTATTTGGAACAAAACCACTTTTAACCCCTTCCCAGCCATCCTGAATACAAATTTCTCCCTTTTTAATAAGTTCATATATGTCTCTTGTCAAGATTGTGAAGGATTCTTCGACGTTTGTAGCATCCTTTGCTGAGGTTTCTATATACTTCATTCCACAGTCTGCTGACAGTTTTTCAGCTTCTTCCCTTGTAACCTGACGTTGTGAAGCTAAATCACATTTATGTCCCACTAGCAGAAATACAATCCGAAATGGCTGTACGTGCATTTTTGCCTCTTCTAGCCAATCTTTCACATGTTCAAAAGATCGTCGGTTAGTAATGTCAAATACTAAAAATCCACCAACTGAGTTGCGGTAATAAGATCGAGTTATTGATCTGAAAAAAGAGAAAAAAGGTTGTATAAGGACAACTTGTTCTTTTCCTTCTCCTTCCAACAATCTAGCACCATAATAACATTTGAAGATCTTAATGTGATTTAACTAGAATTTATAAATAAAATATGAGGTATCTCAAGTGAACGAAAATATTCTATGGGACTATATGCAAGTTTCATACACTGACAGAACACGAAAGTAGTAGTTATTTTTAGATAGACAAATAAGCACTTATATGCTATGTCATCTCGTACTGTCTTATGATTATTTGTTTTTGCTTTGAAAGATCTGATAGATTGTTACATCACTGTGGTTAAAAATAGGCATACTGAAAGACTGAGTGAAGGGTACAGGTTGTACAACAAACCAGATCTCATATATATATATATATATATATTTTTTTTTTTTTTAAGATGGGGTTTCACCATGATGACCAGGCTGGTCTTGAACTCCTGACCTCAGGTGATCCACCCACCTCAGCCTCCCAAAATGCTAGGATTACAGGTGTGAGCCACCGCACCCAGCAACAAACCAGATCTTAAGAATCTCATTCATCATAAAATTTCATGAACTCCTCTCTATCAATTTAGGAAAAAGAAACAAGGGCTATACTATGGATTGAATGTCTGTGTCCCCCCGAAATTCTTATGTTGAAATCTTAACCCTAATGTGGTAGTATTAGGAGGCGGGGCCTTTGGGATGTAATTTAGGTCATGAGGGTGGAAGCTTCGTGAATGAGATCAGTACCCTTAAAAAAAGATACCGCAGAGAGCTCTCTAGTCCTCTTTCCACCATGTGAGAATACAAGATGGCTGTCTGCAACCCAGACGAGGGTACTCATGCTAGCACCAGGATCTCCCTGATCATCCACCTCCAGCCTCCAAAATTGTGATAACGAAATTTCTGTTGTTTAAACCCCGATTCCGTGGTAATTTGTTATACCAGCCCAAACTGATTAAGACAGCTGACTTGTCACAGTGTTAGTTACAGGTAGTCTTGTGTTATACCTATTCAAGAAACAGGAGACTGTCTGGATCGGGATATGAATCTGAGGTGTGCTAACAATTGTCTGAATGTCTCTCCAGATCTAGTCTCCATCCTTCTCTAGGGCTGAGGAAGCTGTCCTTCACAGAAAGCTTTCCCAAACTCCCTTGCCCTCTGGCTTGCAGGGGTTTCAGCCAATGGCAGGCACCAGCTGGAGACGGAAGGAAAGAGAAGTCAGAGTATGTATCCCTCTCTTTGCTTTTGCTGGGCTGTGGCTTAGCAGCGGTAGTATTCCTCTGCTTCTAGTCAAGGTTTCTGTTGGGTAGACTGCAATACCTTTCTCTGTCCTCGTCTCTTTCAACCGGGTGGTTAATGGCTTCCCGCTGTTGCTATCTCTTAATGCGGCACCATCTTTTATTAGTGTCCTTGATGCTACCCATATTTCTGGAAATAGTCACTTCGTTAAACTCTTTTCAGTTAACCTCCAATTGTGCCCCCTGTGTTCTGGCTGAATCACGAGGCAAAGTGGCAACACTATACTGTTTCATGTTTCTTGCCCCTCCACATGTTGTTTTCTCTATCTGGAATGCCTTCTACCCCTTTTCGGTCTAGGAAACTCCTATTTCTGCTTTAATCGTCAGCTCAGTAATCATACCATCTGAGCAGCCTTCCCTGTCACTCGTCTCTCTCTTAGGTACTCTTTTTTTTTTTTAAGTGGGGTTTCACTATGTTGGTCAGGCTGGTCTCGAACTCCTGACCTCGTGATCCACCTGCCTTGGCCTTCCAAAGTGCTGGGATTACAGGTGTGAGCCACTGTGCCCGGCTAGGGCACACAGTTCCTTTGAACCACTGGCATACTGCCATTATGATTATCTTAATTTTCTCAATATGCTGACTGGGTTTGCTGTTATGTCAGTCATATTGCCTGTTAAATGACAGATGTTATAAAATGTTTGTTATACTAGATTTTTTTTTTTTTTGAGATGGAGTCTCACTCTGTCGCCAGGCTGGAGTGCAGTGGCGTGATCCCAGATCACTGCAACCTCCGCTTCCCGGGTTCGAGCAATTCGCCTGCCTCAGCCTCCTGACTAGCTGGGACTAACAGGTGCGTGCCACCATGCCCGGCTAATTTTTGTATTTTTAGTAGAGACAGGGTTTTACCATGTTGACCAGGATGGTCTCGATCTCTTGATCTCATGATCCACCCACTTCGGCCTCCCAAAGTTCTGGGATTACAGGCGTGAGCCACCATGCCTGGCCAATACTGGATTAATTAATTTTATTGGCGAGGATAAGTGCTAAATGTTGTATAAGCCAGAGATCCCATGTGTCTCAGTTTCCAGTTTGTCAGTGATCTTTAAGCAAACTCATCTGACTACTTGCCTGAGGTGCCGAGATCTTTGTGAATGGCCAGCAGTTTATTTGGTACTGTTACACTTTCCTACTTGCTCTCATTGCTGAAATCACAGCTCAGTTCAGTGACCTGATGCCATAAATAGCTTTGTTGTGCGAGTGCAAAGAAAGCATTTTACCTCCTCCTTCTTTCTGTTTCTCCTGCTTCCCTGTTTCTCCTCAGAATTCCTAGTAGAGAGATTCCCAAGTGGCTATTTTTGAAAAACTTTTGTCAAGGACTATAGCATTATACAGAAATTGAGTTTTTCACCAACCCAGTGGTTAGAGTCTAAAAATAAAAAAAAAAAAAGAAATTGACAATAAGAAAATCTCCGACCATCTTTGGCAGGCTATGAATAATGCACTTGCTATATTTTAACTTTGAGGGATAACTAATTTGTTATTGTTTTGTCACTCATCTTTATATGTGTGAATTTAGGCAGATGTGCAGTATTTTAAGAGAAATCTAATTAAGGCTGTGTTCTTAGACGAAAAGCTTGAATGTACTCAGCACCAAGTCTGCATTACTTTTATGCCTCCCACCCATTTAATTTACCACTACTAGAGTATCTTCAAAATGCCTTTGTGGCTGAAAACTCAATGCTGAAATGCTTATATATTACACAGAGGCATGTTTTACATGGTAAGAAATACTATGTTTTCTTTCTTTCTTTCTCTTTCGTTTGTCTTCACTGTAAAAAACACCTTTCTTCCTTCCTTCTCTCTTCCTCTCTCTTTCTCTCTTTCTTTTTTGTACAGGAATGATCCTGGCTCACTGCAACCTCTACCTCCTGGGTTCAAGCTATTCTCCTGCCTCAGTCTCCCAAGTAGCTGGGATTACAGGCGCCCACCACCATGCCCCGCTAATTTTTACATTTTTAGTAGAGATGAAGTTTCACCATGTTGGCCAGATTGGTCTCAAACTCCTGACCTCAGGTGATCCACCAGCCTCAGCCTGGGATTACAGGTATGAGCCACCACACCTGGCTATGAAATACTATGTTTTCAAAAACTTATCTTTTATTTTCTTTTTAAAATAAGCAACCCTATTAAGTGATTGTATTTAATTTTGAAAACACATTTAGAATACAGTTGGCACATCATCCTACAGAATAAAATTATAGCAAAGTACATGTAATACACATTATAAAACAACCCTTATTAATAATTAGTTGGAATAAAAGGACTCAGTATAACATCTGCCATTTCTATGTAGTGACCTGGTTTCTAGTTTCTGTGTGTGGGTTTGTGGGGCTTCACATTCGGGTATAGTTGTCCTGGAGATAGTACTTTTCCTAAAACAACTGGGCACTGCCGCTATCAATCATCTGGGGGAAGAAGCAGGCCTTCAAATGGGAAACTCCAACTGAAAGGCAGGTCTTACAGAGGTGTTGAGGGAGCAGCTGTCTTTCTCTTGACCTTTCTCCCATTAAGTTGGGACACTTAGGTCTCTAGAAGTTCTTGAAGGAATTATGAGAAGGTAGGGAACAGATTCTAAAAGCACTAGACAGGGTGGCCTCCCTGTAAGGAACTCCAGAATTGATGATGAATATCAATTCTTTTTAAGCAACAATATCTTGTAGTATGATACTTTGTATCTATTTCCTTCCAGGGTTTGAAAGTCTCCCTGAATGGGCCTGTGCAGTGGCTCACACCTGTAATCCCAGCACTTTGGGAGGCGAATCCAGAGGTCAGGAGTTTGTGACCAACCTGGCCAACACAGTGAAACCCCATCTCTACCAAAAATACAAAAATTAGCCGGGTGTGGTGGCACACACCTGTAGTCCCAATTGAGACCCACTTGGGAGGCTGAGGCAGGAGAATCGCTTGAACTCAGGAGGTGGAAATTGCAGTGAGCTGAGATTGTGTCACTGCACTCCAGCCTGGGTGGAAATTGCAGTGAGCTGAGATTGTGTCACTGCACTCCAGCCTGGGTGGAAATTGCAGTGAGCTGAGATTGTGTCACTGCACTCCAGCCTGGGTGACAGAAACTCTGTTTCCAAAAAAAAAAAAAAAAGAGAGAAAAAAAGAAAAAGGGAAAAAAGTCTCCCTGAATGAATGGATGATTTAAGGGAAAGAAAACAACTGTGAGGTCGGGGAATGAATGGAAAAAAAGAATAGAGTCTGGGCAACACAGGGAGACCCTGTCTCTATTAAAAAAAAAAAAAAAAGAGTAGAAACAAGGAAGGAAGAGAGAGATAAATGGCATGGATTCTAACCCGGTCTCATGTGTGTTATGAGGGAATGAAGAGGTGAGACTGTTCTCTGGCAAGAATGGTAAAGATATAAAAACCCTAAATAGAGCGTGAGGGTGATGTGATGGTGGGGAAGGTGGATTTTGGAGCGGAGGGATCGGGGTTATAAGCTCCAAGCAGTCCCTTGTCCCTCTCAAGTGGAATATCTGGTTTTAATTATAAAAGAAAGCTGGTGGCTCGTTCATACTTCGAAGGCTACACTATCAGCAAATCGTATCCATTGCCAAAGCAGCAGTCTCCTCTCCCTGTCTTAACTGAAAGCTGCTGGTCCCTGAGACCACTCCTTTCCCTGCAGCATACTCATGTTGCCCATTCTCTAGGGTCAGGAGGAGATGGCTTCCGTTTCCCCAGTGCAACTTCCAGACAATTA